GTGAAAGTTGCACTGAGCGCAGTGAAGGTGAATGCTCAAAATTCTGTTGACCGAAGCGGTTTTTGTGGCTCAATTGGTTTGAGGATTTTGTTTACTTTCACTTTAGTGTGTGTGTGTGTGTGTGTGTGTGTGAAGGGTTCCTTTCGTTAATTGCAATTATGAATGCTGCTGCGTCTCTATCTCCTCTTACTCTTAGTTATGATTATAGTACACTCAGCACTCACCCATGCTCTTGGGCCAAAAAGCTGCCATAAATAATACCAAGTACTTTGTTTTCTGATTCTGGATTCTATGTTCTGTTCAAGTGCTGCTAGTGCTAAAATAACTAACAGTTTCAGTTACACTAATAGTGCTCTCAATTTTGGGATAAATGGATAATTACAACTAATTATAATAATTTGGTTGCTCAACAAATGTAAAGTTTGCTTGAAACAGAAAAGAAAATGCGTTTACTTAATGTTTAGTAGATTAACTGACAATCAATATTCTGTCAAGTTGGAATTGAAAATCGTTTAAATTAATTATAGATGGATATCAGTTGCAAATATATATGGTGAATTTTGATTTTCATCATAGTTTAATTATGATTAAGCTTTATAACAATTGCTATAAGCTAAATTTGAAGTCAATAATCATGGAATGGATTTTATTATAATGACAGCCCCTTCGATTTTATTCGATTGCATTTACGGCACTTGTCTAGAGATGTTGTTTAAATCTACTTTACTCTGCGGGATTTGTTTGTGTACTTACCATCAAGAAGTTGGATAAATGTCTGCAGACAGTGCTGAAAGCAAAAACATATTTAACAAGTAAGTGAAAATGAGAACACAGACTGCATAAATGTAAAAGTGAAAATTGACTACTTATTTTATATATATATATATATATTTTTATATATATAAATTATTGCAATAGCCTGCCAAGCAACCAACCCCGCGCGCGCAATTGCTTTTGCCTTTGGCACGCTCTTGTTTTGTGTTTTTCGCCCTTTGATTATCGGCAATCGACCGACAGTCGCAACCCTTAGCCACTTTGTCTAACTCTTCTTCATCTGCTTTTCACTTGTTCAGCTTCGTTTTCTTCTTACGCTGTGTCTGACCCAAGCAGAAGCGATGGGTGTGGCAGGGGTCGATGGGGGTACGGGCTGTATAATATTGCGTCTGTGCGCTGTCTCGTCGCCTGTCGATTCCCATTTCCTTTGAGTTGGGTCGCCTTTGCCTGCATCCAAGTCCAACCTTCGTTTGGGGCTTTTCATTTCATTTGCTACGGAAGTTGCTAAACGCTGCATCCGTTCGCTGCATGTGCGTGTGTGTGTGTGTGTAATGGGTGTTGTGCATGTGTGTGTGTGTGTGTGTGTCTGTATTGTTGTCCAGCTTTCACCTGAACGACTGTAATATATGCGTTGCTTGATTTGATTCGAATTAAATTCGTTGCCTCATGAGTTGGTACAAATCTCAGTATGATTTACCGAATAGTTGTTACTATGTCCCCCAAAACCTAAATGCCACCCTGTTCACTTGCAAGCACTGCTCATCGTTTCCACTCTGTTCATCACAAATGTTAATTGGCAAGTTTTCTCAGCGTGTACACTAGAAAAAGCTTGCTTTTTATTTCGGTTATTGTTTCAGCTTTGGTTTCCCTTAAAATAATAAAACTTGAAACTTAAGCTGAGACTAGCTCGTAATAGCCGCAAAGTATGCAATAACAAAAAAAAAAACCACACAAATCCTTGCAAACAGTCTTGACCGGACCAAGTTTTGTCTTCCTCAAGTTGACGTACCCTGTAGACGAAAAAATGCCTAGACGAGGTATCAAAGTGTCCAGAGTTACGTTGCTCTTTAAAGTTAACGTATCAGTTAGTCTAATTAATACTTCACTCTCTCCCTCTCTCTCTTCCTCTCTCTCTCTCTTTTGGCTCAGTCACTTTTACTTGGCTAAAGTTTGTGAACTCTTCTTTTCATCTGATTTAACTTTCGCCCAATTTGCCGTATATATTATTAATAAACTTAAATATTCCTAGCCCACTTTACAGGGTACCTCCCCAACAATAATCTCTGTTGTTTTTCGTGCCGTCATTAAATCCAAGCCAAGCCGCAAGCTCATCTTTGGCAACAACGACTTCAACTAAGACGACAGTTTTTTGGTGAATTCCAAAAACTTGTAGCATACGCTGCGGCACACCGTATTCTCCCTCGCTCAACAACCTTAACTCTGTCTGTCCTCACATAAAAAAAGGAGAAAAGTTTGAAGAAAAAAAAATCGCAAGTTTCAGACGAAAGTAAAAACACTGCTTCGACAGTCGACAGTCAAAACTTTTTTGATTATCTTAATTGCGATTACGGGACACCGAACACTCCCCAACATCCAACTGCCTCTTCTCCATCCCCATCCCCATCCCCATTCCCATGCAAACCATGCGTGTTTGTGACCCAAAACAAGCAGACAGACAAACAGACAGCCAGACAATCGGACAGTTAGATAAATAGATAGAGAAGCTGGGATTGATAGCATAGATAGCGCAAGAGAGTGGGGTGAGATTAGAGTTGGGGCTTGGTTCGGAAACCCCAAAAGACAGACGTACTGAAATTAGGCGGAAAGCTCTAGACGTTTCCCCAGTCTGCACTCCGCTACTCGAAATTAACAAGATTGGATCCCTTTCCCTCACAAACGTTGAACACGAAGAAAACAAACAACAACAACAACAACAACAAAAAGTGTGGCCAAGCAATGAAAGAAATTGGGCTATCAAAAAGCTGCACAAAAGTTTGACCAACTCTGGTGAAAGGGCAACCATTCTGCTCGTGGGCACAGCATACCCTGTAAATTAGTTGCTAGCTGGTGCTACGTTAGCCTAAATCAAAATGTACAACAAATTGAGCAGATTAATTAGCTCAAATTTATTTAAGCTAAGTAAGAAATATATATAAAAATAATATAAATATATGTAACATATAAACAGCGTTAGCTTAGAGCCGCAAAACTTCAGCTAATGAGGGGTATGCAGGGTGTGTAGTTGTCAAGCAACTGTCGAGATTTGTCATCAGTATTTTTTCGACTCGTAGCCATATAGCCAGTCTGTTGTCCATTTTCTAGCCGACATCCGCTTGGGGCTGAAAGTTTCTCCAAAGTTTTTCAGTAGCATTTGACTGGAATGACGAGGTATTCAGCAATGTTCTTAGGCATCCACCCACAACCGCATCACCCTCGCCAGCTCATTTCCTGCCACCACCATCTACTCCTCACTCACATGGCACACAACACAATTGGAAAATAATCATAGTTTGGCGAAAAAATTCTGATTATGTTGGGGACTGCAAACAGTCGCTTGGGGCGCATCGAGGACCTTTTGGCCAGTTGCAGCTAATCTACTTACAATGTGAGAAATAAGCTAATAGAAGTACGCATATCCCTACCCCAAATATCGAGCCACCCCTCTGCGCCATTCAATGTGTAGCTTTAGCTGTGGAAGTGCCCTATAATTGCTGGTCATAAAAAGCAATAATGGATCTTATTGATTTTGCAACTGAGCTATTAAATGGGAAATCCAAATGTCTGACTATTAAATCTATACCGATCAATAGCGTGAATATCTTTTGTGCAAATGCATAAAATACTACAAGGCATTTGTTTTACAATTCTTCTTTTGGTAATTTCAGAGATTCTTAAACGCAATGATTCGCAGTGCAATTTTGCTGTATGAATAAGGTCAATGGACCGAAGTTGCTTTGAAATTATAAGCGTAGCTTTGCCACCTGTGTGCATCAAAGTGCATTTCTGAGTCGCCTTTCAATCCCGCTTCGATTTTGTCAGCACTTCCTCTTATAATGTGAGTATTATTTGCCGTTATCTGCCCTAACGACAGGATAAACCACTTTGCGGCGTTGTGATATGTGCTCAGAGAAGGACACAATCACACACACACACACACACACAGCGAGAGTGAGAGCGACAGAGACAGAGACTGCTTTTAGGTTGAGGGGATGGCTGTGTGGCACTTCCTTATTTTATACAAAAAATGGGCACAATGTGTCATTGCCGACGCTGACAACTTTGATGAAGTGTCGCGTTGACAGAAGCGTCGCGGATGACTCTGGAGTACCAGCTCTACACTCAAAGAAATTAAATGGGTACAATATATATGCATAAATGTTAGTTTGATTATGCACATTGTTGCATTCTTAAATGATAAGAAATTCAAATCAAATTCTTAATTCAACTGTGATATCAAATTCAATTAAAATATAATCAATCTAGAGTTAAAGTTCATTAATTAAGAAAGTAGCGTTTTTATCTGAGTGTATGATTGGGTATGTTTGGTGTGTATGTGTGTGTGTGTGTGTGGTACGATGAATCAGACGCTGAGCGGGGAATGCTCCCTGACATAAAATGTGTAAAATATTGGCTGTCTACATAAAAGACTGGAACGGGGCAACGCAACTGGTAAAACCTGGGAATTCAATTTATATGCAAATCATATGCAGCCATCAAGACAAATATTAAATAGAAGTGTGTTCTTCCCCACATCCCACACCCCAAACCCCCCCCCCTCAACCCCCCCTACCATCACACACATACACACACACACACTTTGGCTATGCGTAAGTATTTTCACAAGATATTTATTAAAAAAAATATATATAATTATGCATCATGTGAGGTTATTTAAATAGGAGCAGTAGCAAAAGAGGCATCAACACCCCATTTTCTATGTTTATAACATATTGGTAAAAGAAGAAGTGGAGAGGCAGCTGTGGGGGGCATCTGTGTGTGCAAGGCAAACATGTATATAATTCAAATTGGGTGCTTCTGTGTAGATTAGTTTCTGAAATGCACGAAAACAGAATTTGCTTATTGCTTTAAGAATGATTTTTTAAACAAGTTTCATTGAATAAAAGTCTTTAAATTGTCTGAAATGAAAAACAATTGTGGTAAGCTTGACACATAAAAGTGAAACAGTTAACATACTGTTATCCTATAAGGCATATAGAAACGATCGATCACAATTGAAGATCTTATTAGTTTTATTAATTTAAGACATTTGTACATTTGTTTGTAAATTATGAACTATGCATTTGTAAATGTGTGCAGGGGATCTATGTAAAATAGCGAATACCATCCTCGTAATTTTCGCGTACATCGTACGCAGTGGGCGCATACCCATTGTAGGCACTGTAGCCGCTCTTTGTGTTGCAGGCGCAGGGCTTCTCTTTGACTATTTTTTTGGGTTGCTGGATCTCCTCTTCTTCATCCTCTTCCTCTTCATCTTGCTTCTTGTAGCGCTCCTCGTACGAATGTTCGGCATAGGTCGGCTTGCTGGTGTAGTGGTCGCTGTAGCATTCTGTGGTTGTTTTGGGCTTTTGCTTCTTGCTGCTCTTCTTGCTGATCTTCTCCTCGAGTTTCGCCGTCTCCTTTTCTTTGATGCCCTCAAAGAATTCGAGTTGTTTGAGCTTCTTGTCTTCGAAAAACTGTTTGATTTTCTCCATTTCATTCTCCTTCTTCTCCGTGAACAAATTAAGGAAATCCAATTTCTTGAGCGCCTCCTTCTGCTGCTTCCCATCCAGTTTCTCCGCCAGATCTTCCAACTTGGGCAGCTTCAGCAGAAAGGCTTGTGATAGTTGCAATGCTGTAATTTGCAGATTGCTGGAGTTTTGAGCCATTTTAAGCCACTTTGAGCCACTTACCCATTGCGGCAATCAGGAGCAGCATTAGTTGTTGCCTCATTGTTGTGCTTGGCATTTTTGCTTGTGCGTTGGCTACTGTGTCTGACTGCTAACTGTTTCCCTCTGTCTCTGTCTCTGCCTCTGTCCCGCCAGCTGCTTTTAAGCCAAAAGTCTCTACCAGCTTGGTCCAAGCTCAGCTCTTTTGAGGCTTGAAGGTGAGCCGGAGCACGTGCTGCACTCCAGCTGATAAGCACGTGTGCATTTATTTTGTTGCATTAAGAATATGTACGCTTATGCGTCTTATCGTTCTCACTTGGCATGTGGCTTATTGATAGAAACACCCCACCTGTTCAGCTATCCCCTCTCTGAATGCTCTCTGCTGCATACAGTTCAATGCACTTGCCACTTTCGAATAGATAAGATTGATTGCACATAAATATACCAAAATTGACTTACTGCCAGCATAGCAGATTTTATTCTTATTGTTTCTAATATATCTTTGTACGTATGTATGTGCATGTATATATGTACGTATGTAGCCACCCCCTTGGTCAGTTGTCAGTTTGACAAGTCGACGTTCACACAAATTTTGTTCTATGTCTCTAGGAATAATTCGTTGCACGAAACAAACTTGCCGAGAGTTGTGTGCGAGAATGAGGGAACTTTGTTTTTTTTTGCTTGGAACTTTAATTGAATGCGCCCTGAAACGAGCTCTGAAACTGGGGAGCGGCATCGCTAATTGACTTGGCTGCTGGCCATTATCAGCTGAGGGGGTAACGTGCGGCGAGAAAGTGGGAGGAGTAGGGGGTAGAGGGAAGAGAGTGTTGGAGTTGATGTGTTGAAAGTGGAAGTTAAATTGTATTTGTTTAGTGCGCCTGCACAAGCCAGTGCGCCACGGCGCTGAAGGGGGGAAATGTGCGCCTGCTTGCAACTCGAACTTCAAGCAAATATATTTTTGCCACATGTGGCAGCCTCACGTGTGTGTGTGTGTGTGTGTAGTATGCGCCTGTGCATGTGTTTGTTGTTGGCTTGTTTTGTGTGGCTATTTGTGCTGAGCAAACAATTTGCTAAATTAATTGCACACCAACTGTTGTTTGCCAGTGATTGCTTGTGTATGGGTGTACGGATGTAAGTGTGTGAGCTCTTGTTATTGCCAGCAATGTTGTTTTTGCCTAAACATAACACTGCACATCGGCTGTGCACAGCAAATACTATAACCAAATCAGCATTTTTTGGCTTGGAAAACAGAAGCGAATATTTTACAAAACCAACTGTTAACGCGTAAAATAAATGCTTACAAATCGGTGAAACATTTTCAGCACAAATGAAAGTCAGCCATTATTATTGTTGCTGGTTGAAAAGTAAGAAATTTACAAAAGTTCCTAATTAGAAACCCGGTGCGTAAATAGCAGATTAGGGCGTGGCCTCCATACCGACCATTTGAAGAATTCAGCGCCCCCTTCATGAAAAGCTGAGTAAGTCTTCGATAATTCATTAATTAAGTTAATTGTCGTAGTTTTTCTTTACCGCTTACATTTGGCGAGTTTTACAAAACCTTTTTAAAATATTTGAAAATAAAAAGGCTTTTAAATGTGATTTAAATGTCTGTTAATAATCAGATGGGATCGTCCTATTAATTATCTAATTCATCGAGTTTCATTTAGCTGCAAGCTTAACTCATTCATCTCATAACATAAAAATTTACGTTTCAAATTACAACTTGACCGTTTGACAAAGTCTCTGAAGATTCATTTACTATATAATAGCATATCATTAGCAGGTCATAAGACAACAACTAGTACAAAACAAAATAACTAATACTAAGCTTATGCAATTTACTTTGCTTAATAGCTGATACGCAACATTAGAGTTCAATGCCAACTTTAAACTTCCTGAAAATAGTTTTTTTTTTTTACATGTCTGTACACTATATCTTTACACGTCAGCAGTTTTGTGTTTAACTGCTTATTTAATTGCCTAATTGAGTTTTCTTCTTTTATTTTTTTGTCGTTTATGCTGAGATTATCAGCTGCGTTTTATTTTATTTTAGTTCGTTTTCGTTTTTCAGCTGTTCGCAGCTTGTTAATGACTTGTTTTTTTTTTTTTTGGGTTTTTGTGTTTTTTGTTTGCAATTTTTCCAACATTTTGATGGCGTAGCAAAAATAGAAAAAGAGGAATAAACATAATCGTTGAGTTGTTTATGCAACATGATTTTGTTTGCTTTATTATTATGTCAGTTCTGTAAAATACAAATACAAAAAGGTGATAAATAAAATAAATAAATATGTATTAATTCGTTGATAGTTTGATTAGTTAATGGTAAAATGCCTTAGCCCAATTGTGTATAGGTATTATGGGATAATGCGATGATTGTCGATGTTGCCCAAATTAAGTGGCAACTCTGGCAGTGGCTCCAATAGGGCCGGATCATCAAGCTCGCTAGCATTATTTTCATTTTCATTATCATCATCATTATCATTATCGCCAGACGTTGTTGTTGTTTCTATTGGTGATTCTGTTGTCGTTGTTGTTGTTGTTGTTGTGCTGCGTCTACGCAACTTACGACCCTTGCGTCCTTTGCGTCCCTTGCGACCCAAGCGTTCCTTTTTCTGCTGGAGCAGCTGCTTGGCTAAGCTCAGGGTTGCCATCTGTCCAAAAACAGTTGGATATGGCGCCATTGGATAAGGCTGCAAAGTTGTCGTTGTTGCTGCGCTGCTACTGCTGCTGCTGCTGTCAGCAAATGTTGTTATGATTGGTGTTGTTGTTGTGACTGGTAACTCTGTTGTAGTATTCGCAGCAATAATTGCTGTTGCTGTTGTATTTGCTAGTGGTGTTGTTGTTATTGTTGATGTTGTTGTGGAGCTGGTTGACTCTGTTGTTGGTACTCCTGCTGTTGTTGTGGAAGTTGCTGTTGTAGTTGAGTTGCTCAAGTCTGGTGTTGTTGTTGTTGCTGGTGTTGTTGATGTTGTTGGTGTTGTGAAAGTTGCTGTGGTAGTTGAGTTGCTCAATCCTGGTGTTGATGCTGGTGTTGTTGTCGATGTTGCTGCTGTAGTTGAGTTGCTCAAGTCTGGCGTTGCTGTTGCAGCACTTGTCGTTTCTATTGCAGCGGTTGTTGTGGAATTTTCTGCTGGTGTCGTAACTGTTGCTGCTGTTGTTGTGAAACTTTCTGCTGGTGTTGTAACTGTTGCTGCTGTTGTTGAGCTAGCAGCTGTTGTCGTCGTAGATGTTGCTGCTGTGGTGCTGCTTGATGATGATGCTGTTGCTTCTGTTGTTGTGCTTGTTGGTGCTATTGTTGTATTGTTCTCTGCCGCAGCAGCAGCAGCAATCACCTCGCTAATATTGATTGTTATTGTCTCATTGAGTCTCGTCTCATTCAAAGATTGCAACGCATTATTCGAGCTGACAATTGTTGCTACGAATGTCTCTGAGTTCTGCGCCGTAGACAGCTGACAGCAGGCGGCTGAAAATCATCAATGGTTAGTTTAGGGAATTAATTAGAAGGCCGGAAGACAACAGATTCCCACTGGCTACCACAGGGCAACCACATGACAAACTAATTACCTAATGCTGTTACCACAACGAGCGCAATTAAATGACAACGTGCCTGCAAAACTGGCAGCAACATTATGCGATTTAACATGGCGGTTGTTGCTATAGATACTGTTGTCATCCCAGAAATTCCTTAATTAGCCTCTGGGTGCTTGTTGATGCTGCTGTTGCTGTTGCTTAACAAATTTGGTTAATTGAACTGATTTGTGAAATGCTCATCAGATGCTTTTTTATATTGCACGTCGCACGGAAACGTGTGGAATGTACGTGAGTTTCACTATTTACTTATCTGTTATCTTGTATCTGCCATCTGTCATCTTTCAGATACCAATCACACATAGTAGCAATTGTTGCTGTTGTTCTCTGTTGCTGCTGCTGCTGCTGCTTGCCGATGGCATCTTTGATACCGGAAATATAACCACGTGTTGGTGGCTCACACCCAGCTTTAACTATCGGAAGCCATTTAGACCAAATTTTCTATTTGGCTATTTTGCTTGCTATTAATTTTGAGGGTCGCTGCTGCTCTTTCAACTTGGTCAACAGGCACGTAAACTTGGCCAACAGCTGGCAATCATTTGATATGCGAAAAGACAGAAACAACGGCTCCCTGCGTTCAGACTGTTAACAGCTGCATTATATTGAAAATTAGAGCAATCATTACTTTTGTCAGTATCATTTAACAATCCAACCTTATTATTTATATCTTTAATTCTTCCGGTGTTTTTTCTTGATATGCATTTTCAAAAGTTCTGTATTTAATATATTTATTTACGTTTTGGCTGTAAATAAAGTCAAATGCTGCAGATAACTAATTGTTATTGTGAATGAGAGCCACAAATAGACTAGTTTACGACTAATATATACCCTCTAATCAAGTAATTCTGGTGAGTAGTGAAACTGAGAGAGAGAGAGAGAGAGAAATAGAAAAATGAAATAATGCCATTTAATGATGTATATTAATTATAAAGATAAAGTGAATTTGTCTGAAACAATTTGTAGCCATATTTAATGTGGATGCGGATTTTATATACCATATACTAGACTGTACATATTCTAGACATGGTAAACTTAATAAACTTGAATATGCCTTGTTCGGCAGCCTGATGACAGGGCATTGGGCATGCTATGAATACACACGAAAACAATTTGCACGACTGTTGTTGAAATTTTAATTATTTGAAATAAACGTGACCAAAAGTAAATGCAAGCTAAAAAGCTATATTATGAAACTGAAAACAAAAAACAACAAATTATCTAAATACTAATGGAATGAACAGAACCAAACAGGGTGCTACATTTAAGACTATGGATACATGTATATGTATAATGTACATAATCAGATATGAGTGACTTATGGATAATTTCCCTCATTTAGTTGAGTAAGGTCAGTTCGAGACTAAGTGAGACAGATTGAAAGGGAGGGAGAACTATACACAAATATGCTGTTACTACGTGCTGAAGCATATATTGAAATACTCAACAGTTTTTCCTATATAAGTCGGTTAGTTTGGGCAACAAGTAAACAGTTCGAATTAACAACTTCTACAAACATGTTCAACAAAACATTCCTCGTGGCCCTCGTCCTGTGTGGTATGTAAACTAATATAAGCCTGGATATATTACGGGATATTCTCACTCATTTACCACTTTTGCAGCCTGCTACTTTGGCGACACAATGGCACGTCCTCAACTGCCCCCAATACCCGGAGTACCCCAATTGCCCCAATTGCCCCAAATCCCCGGAGTGCCTGGATTGCCTGGAGTGGGCACGATTACTGGCGTTGCTTCTGATGCCGCAGGTGGACCATTGGGTGCCCTCACTGGTCCGAAACTAGGCAAATGAGAACTGCGCCAAAGGCAAAACAAAACAAAAATGATCGGCACATCTATCAATTGTTAATGTCAGTGTTAATCTTTAAGTGAAACAGTATACAATCTATGTCTATATCTATCTACCATTGGTTATCGAATAAAACATACTTTCTTGCAAGCCGAAAAAAACGTTGTGAACTTGATTTATTTAAATATTCCAGTATTTAATTAATTATGGTAAACAAACCAATGAACATGAATATTGAATATAGGAACTAATTGCCGACTTCTGCTATGAGACTACAACTACAGCAACCTACTTTGCACCTAAACAAATCAAATAAGTTTGTTAGCTTAAGTAATAAAATAATGGAACAAACTCCACAAATGAGGTTAGCTAACTACAGGTAATATCTATGTAAAGAAAGTGAAATTGGAACCTAATCAACTTATTTGCATAAATATGCTTTGAAGTTTACATAGATCCTTTAGTTTCTTGCGTTTCAACATATAAAATAATTATTTTGTTCTTGGTTTCCTTAATGATACATTTAAAATGTTATATGTCAAAGCTTTACTTACACAACCAATGACGTTATGCAACACTCAATCGCTATCCTACGTGTCGTATTGTGTTACCCTATTCAGCACGTAGAAATTGCCTTTTGGGGGTATTTAGTGCTAGATACATTTGCTTAATGATTCAGTTACACATTTTGTTTCTGACCATCAAGAATGTTGCGCAAATGCACAAAATGGATTTTAGTGATCGCCTGTAAGTTCTCCTATTCGACATACTCATTTTCTCATTGAAATTAAATTGTGGTTGCTTTGGACAGTGTTGACAATCTTGGCCTGCAGCATGGCCCAAACGACAACGGCAACGGCAACAGCAACTGCCACAGAAACCATGTCATCAGGTCGTAAGCTTGTCAAGGAGTTTATGAGTAAAGTGCAGGCGCTTATAGTCAAGTTAAGACTGGACTTGCAGCAGCTGAATGCAGACAACAATGGCAACCGCATTAGTAATAGCTAAGTTGTCCGAAAGATATATATAGAAATATAAATAAATAAAATAAAATTTATTCATATATAATAAGCGCCCTAGAAAAAAGTCCGTTTCGACGGCTATGATTGATGTTCATCTGTCAGGGGTCAGAGGTCAATACGTTTTTGAGCTACGCACACAAAAACAACAGTTTGCCACACACACACAGACAGAGAAGAACACACACACAACGTTGACTGTCATTTGTTAGAAAGCACTTCCAAGATACATGCAAGGAGTATAATACAAGTGGACACATGTTAACAAGCTGAATGTCGGATATTGGAGTAGGTTGGTTGGTGGGGGTTAGAGGTGTGCCAGGACTGAGCGTTAAGCGAAATGAAAATTCCAAAAATTATACGTAAAGGCGAGTGCAAAAGCAAAAGGCACAGCAAAAAAAAAAGTATACAACGACAAGAGGTCACATGTAAAATATGTTGGCCGAATATTGAATGCCCTTGCAGAAGATAATCCTACATATATCAATAGATTTATGAAAGCTTAGAATATGAAGTATAGAAATATATAATATGGATTATGGAAAAATAAAGCAATATAATATAATAAATATACAGAAAACACAGAGAGATACTTAAACGAAAATCATTAATATATGTAAATAAAAATGTAATTGAGAATTTGCCAATTGAAACTTTCAGCTATTTACACAAAATATAAAATGAAATAAAATACACAATTTATTGCAATTATAATATAGAAATTATGATACATACATCGGTGAATTTTTAGTGAAGAAGATATGTTAATGCTGAGAATATACGAAAATGTAAAATAATAAAAATTTGCATAAAAGTATAGATGATGTCACATATGCCAAGACAAAAATGTTCTACCTACACACTCGGTTAGCGTATGAAAAAATGTGCCAAGAAAATCTTAACGAAATTTCTCACGTTTGCCATAATTACGAGCAAAATACGTGACATGTGTTTTGACTGTGAATTTAAGCTGTGACCCGCAACAGTAGCAACAACAGCAACAGCAACAGCAACAGAAGCAATAGCTTGACGAGCTACCCCAAAATCACCCAACCTCAAAACACTTACACCCTATCCCCTACCGCTACAACACCTACATCCCGCTCCAAGGCACATTGCTTAAGCAATCTTGCGTTGCCCACTTTGTTGCCATCTTATTCATATGCACAGACGTTGAAAAGAAAGGGTGCCACCCAAGGGGGGTGTTGTGTTGTATGTGTTTTGTAGTGGTATGCACACTCCGAGTTGTAAATGGTAATGCGCTATGGCTCGTATACATAACCAATAAAAATAAAAATCTGTGCCAGCCCCCGAAATATGAGGGAGTAACTCGATTCGCAGCGATTGTGCGAGTAATTCATAAAAATCTCTTGAGCAAATGCTTGCGACATGAATAATGCCAAGACAATGAGAGAGAGCGAAAGAGAGAGATAGAGCGAAAGAGAGGACGAGAGAGAGAGAGAGGGCTGTTCCGATTTCATGGGCCTTTTTTATATCCTTGTTTTATTTATATATTTGGTTTAGTGCCACATCCTGCTCTTCTCTTACATTATTTATAATGCTTTAAAGTCGAACCACAAAAGATTTAGCTTCCTCTTCTTCTTTTTCTTCTTGTGCTTCTTCTTGTTCAATTCGGCAAGGCCAAGACTGGAATGGAAATCCCCAAGCGTTGGCTACGTGATTGAATTGTTGCCTGATTGACAGTTGACAGTTGAAATTGATTTTGGTGGTGGCTGCCAAAATACAGTGTGGTGGATGGTTAGGTCCGGGGGAGTACGCTTATTAATCCCCCGAGTGCAGGCGTGCATAAGTATCGGGCAAATGGATTAGACAGTTTTATGCCAACGAACTGTAACGCAATATTGAGCACAAGGTGGGCGAACGGAAAAAGGATTTCAACGACAGCTCTGTGGACACAAATGGAGCCAACTATTTAATTAAGCTCAAACTTTACCACCCACTCAGTGTTGAGTTCTGGCATATGGCGTCCACACACACTCTCTCTCTCTCTATCTCTCTCTCTCTCTCGCTCTCTGTTGCGTCTGTGATATTATGTGACAGTTAATGAACGTCTGCAGCTCTTTGTTGTCGCCAATCAAAGGATAAAAACCCATGTGGCATGTGGACTGCATAGCCAATGTGAAAGGCCAGTGTGGGGGAAGCTGGTGACTGCTACTGCTGTTGCCGGCTACAAAATTGCATTCAATCCATTGATGGATGATTTAAGTAGCGTTAATCAAAAAGTGTCAGTCCAACGGGAGGGTTGTAACCTGCAGCTGTGAGCAAATAATTAACAATGGTCAAGTATAGAGTGCTGAAAACTTATATGAGATGTCCTCAGTCGCTAATTAGAAGCCCTTTGAATTTAACTTATATTTTATATATTTTTAAATAGTTTATTTAACTAAAAGGAAATCTTAATTGCTGTGGAGTGGGGCAGGGCTTGATCGTTGGAGACAGTCACAAGTAAAGAATACAATTTAAAGATATCTAATAAAAGACAGCATATATTAAAAAAAAAGTCAAAATCAATTTCTTTTATATACATATCACTATAAATTACAGTTACATTTTACAAATAATATTTAAACTTTAGCCTAATCGAAAGCCGAAAACTTTTTATAACCTTAGTTTACGTGCTGAATGATTTTCACCGATTATTTTCTTTAATCATAAAAAACTAGTAAGCAAAATGCCAACAAAAAAATTTAATAATAGCTAGTAAAATAGCTGACCAAGCTGGTAAATTGGTGGGCTGGTAGTAAATTGGAAAACAGGTAGCTAAAATTGTAATGCCCTTAAACACAATTGTGGCACATGTACAGGCCACAAAGTAATATATTTTTGTGTTAGCCTTGCTCAAACTGCTGGAATGGATCAATCAGACTGACTGCCAAAAGAATCTAGAGTGAGTGAAGCAGAAAAGGTTAACTTGCTTCAACAATTTGCCAATACAATATGAAGGCTACAGGCAACAGGCAAACTGGCAACAGGCAGGAGGCAGAAGGCAACAGGCAGCAGCACGAGCAGGAGCTTAGTCTCAGTATCCACAAATAGACGCAAGCTCAATGAAGAGTTCAATATGAGAGTATTGATTGCTTTGACAAATCTGAGGGCCTTGTAATTTCCTTACAAAACCCTACCACAAAGGCAGCAACAGCCAAGAGGGGGTCACGAAAATTCACCAATTCCTCAATTCCCCAATGTGAAAGTAATAGAGAATGCTAGCAACAACCATTCAGGACCCAAAAAACACCCGTCTGGGGGCTTCAAAAGCAGTGGGTGGTTTTTATGATGTTTCGTTTGTGTGTGTGTGTGTGTGTGTGTGAGTATATCTATGGAAAATTAAATTCAATTGTGTGACAAGTTAATCCTATTTCTCATCTCCCAAGTTTTATTTAAGCTTCATTCCTTATGCATTACATGCGCGCAGGAGACGAAGATGAGAAACTCCGCAGTCATGCAGTCAATCAATCAGTCAACCAGCCAGTCAGTCACTCTACTAGCTCAAGCCCAGTAGTCAGTCAGTCAGTTGGATGCTGTCAGAAATGTTTGATATGTTGCCAGACTCAACCAACGCGCAACGTGCCAAGCCAGACGGCTGTCAAGGCGAAAAGTGAAAGCGAAGGGTTGCCACCCAATGGGGAAGCAGATGGGGGTGGGGATGGGGATGGGGCAGGGCGGTTGGATTCTAGCAACACTTCATTAAACTCATAAAGCAATAAAATGTGCTCTTGATGAACAAAACAAAAGAACTGCCACAACACACAGCATCAAGCACAAAACCTAAAACCCAAAATACAACCCCCCGTCCCCCCAATTCGAGCCCATCCACAACCACTTCACCCACCGGTGAGCCTTCAATTGTCTGACAGCTCGACATTGTCTGCTAATGGCAACTGCAAAGCTGTCGAGCATTGAATCGCAACCCATATCCATCTAATGGAAACTCTCTGCTCCGGCATCTCTCCTCCTGATTGCTGCTACTACATCCATCACGTGTACTTCACAAAATACCCGAAGAACGATTCAGTATACAAAAGGAAGCATTAAAGCTGCACTCTCGCTCTATCTCTCCCTCTCTCTCTTTCTCACTCTGTCTCCCTCTATCTTTCTCTTCTTCCGGTTTTTATACGTTTTCT